ACTTGAGCTGTTGTGTCTATTCGTTGGTTGCGTGATGTTTATTTGCATCCTTTACTCCTGTATCCGAGCTATTCTTGCAAAGTCATGAAAGTCTTGAAATCAGTCAAAGGCTTAGTGGGAAAGCCTGGATTCTTTTTGTATGTGAAACGTGAAGTTTTAGGGCAAAGTTCACCTTATATTTGTATATTTCATTTGCATGGTAAAATAAAAGTGAAAGGAAACATGCAGGTCATGTTCTTGAAAGTATGTGAAACATTTCCCCAGTTTTTGTTGTAGTTGATGGAAATGTATTTGGTTTACAGTGAGATGAGGGACATGAACCACTGCACTAATGCAAGTGGCGTGTTTCATATCCGTTTATTATACTAGATAACATAGTGGCTCTGCACTATAAAGAGGCAGGAACGTGTTACTTCCTGTACGATCACTTACCCGGGCAGATCTCTCCATGGTGTAGGCCAACCCAGAGTGAACAATATCCTTCTCAGAGGCACCCTGCAAGGGAAAGATGAATGTTAGCGTCAATCTCTAGGAGGACACTCAATAAACAAACTGTATGCAACATTTTATTTTCATTAAGAAATAGCCTTGGTTGCATGATTGTATCATTGATAAATGTATGCTTTTTGTTTTTACATGTCAATTCAAAATACTAAAAATTTTTATTTGTTTGGTCCCAACTTGGCTCTGGTAACTTGTGATGGGCATTAAGAATCTGTGTAGGTAATAGGAGATAGGTACAGTACAGGGAAAGGCTTGACGCAACATGTGTATTAATTTCACAGCAACTAAACAACAATCTGTACTGTAGACATGGTGAAGGGGTTTGCACCAATGCCCAGCGCCCAATTTACTTTCATTTGTATTTGTAAACCATACACATGATCAGCACCAGTTGCTCTCTGAAGTCATGGCAGAGTCGTCTCTAGCAATTGGTTACAGATAAATGTTGACAAATCACATTTGATCAGCCGACAGGCCGATAGCACTCAAGTAAAATGTTAGATTTGTGCATTCCTGGTTTGTTTAAGAGGAATAACTCAAGCCGATTGGAGTCTACTGGTCATACAGTTAAGGTCAAATATGTATCCGTCAGTCACCATCTAAAAGTTCAAGACACTTTGTCACAATACTTGATATCGCAGAAGGCACAATATTTGTTAAAGACTCAATATTTTAAATACAATTTTTAATGAAGTATTATAAAGCTGCATTGTTTTCAACATATTAGAATAAAAACACATTTGTTTGTTATAGATATATTTTTAAAGTGTGTGTTAGCAGATGATACTCACAGCAACTCTGCTGGAAGTCAGCAGTAGGTACGACAGGGATGGGCCCCCCCTGCTTGCCAAACTTCCTCTCCAAACTTTTTGCACAGACAAGATAACAGACTGAATCGATAAAAAATACCAGGGTTGACACCCTGATGGTCAAGGCCGGATTAACCATATGGGCACACTGGGCAGTGCGCACATGCCCAGGGGCCCTTGAGCAAGAGAGGGCCTTCAGTGACAAGAGAAAAAATATATATATGTATATATATTTTTTTTGGCACAACCTCACTCATCATACGTCGTTTAAATTAAACTCACTCTCCGCCACAATAAATAACTTGGCTTCTCTCCAGGGTCAAATTAATATATTTTCTAAAACCGTCTGTCGTACTGTAGGTCTCACTATGTATTCGCTCAACTTTATTCACTTACGCGGGCGGCGGTCTATGATCAAATCACGACCCCACCTTCACATTGTTGTGTCAATCGAGCTGAAAAAATTGATGGTGCCGGTACGGGGCAGCGAAAAGAAAGAAAGAAAAGGAAGAGAGAGTGGCGGCTGCTTTAAAACATTTCCCAACAATAAATAGCTTTTTCAAAAAAGCTAAAAGTGACGAATTAAGCCAGCAACCACAAGGAACAGTGACCTAATCACAGACTTTGCAAAGTCTCTCTCTCTCATCTCTCTCTCTATAGCTCTCTCCTCTCTCTCTCTCTCTCTCTCTCTCTCTTCGCTCTCTCTCTCTCTCTCTCTCTCTCTCTCTCTCTCTCCTCTTTCTTCACTGTTTGGCCATTTTTCAAAACATTGCCATTAAAATGCCACACACATGAACCAACTACATGTTGCAATACTGAGATAGAAAAAGTTTCTTCAATCTTGTTCTCTGCAGAAACAGAGAAGACACCCAAGTGCAAAACAACCTCATTTCTCCTGCTAAGTGAAATATAACACACTTCAGTTCATAATTAACTAGATGGTTTGACCACCCAACCTACACACTGCCTGACTCTAAAGCAACTTTCCTCTGTTTATGGCTATGCTCTGTACATAGAGGTTCCTGCAGAGGAAGATTGCTTGAGTATACAGAAATACAGTAAATGAAGAAATACAAATGAGTTGTTGAATGAAATCACATTTTATTCAAAAATAACATTGTGCAGCATGCATCTCAGCACATAGTTACTATGCTTCGGATCTCTCTAAGTGCTGATGCATTGTTTGCCAAAACCCAGTTTGTAACTGCTGCTTCCTGTGCCTCACTTGAAAACCCTTAGCCCTTCCACCTGCACCTCTTTGTTTCTCAGTCCTTCAGATAAACAACAAAGATCTAGTGGTTGGTCAGTGTCTGTGTTGCATAAAGGTAAGTCTACCACAGTCCATTGTGCAGGATTTGTGTACAGTTATAGTATGCAACATGCCAACAATTCAATGAAAGCAATGAAGTAAATACGTTTCACACAACAGATATAAGCACTGATACATCATGAATTATGCAGAGCTACAAACTGGTAACCTGTTTTCAAGTCTAAGCGTCCGGATTACAGAGAGGCGACAGTACATCGCTTAGATTAGATGAACCCTCTGTCTCCCAGCCTTGAACCCTCTGTCCATCCCATCTGAACCCTCAGTTCCAGACCTCCTGGAACCCTCTGTCCAGCCCTCTGAACCCTCTGTCCAGCCCTCTCTCATCGTCACACCATGGTTGATAACATTTCATTCATTAGAGAGCAGTATTCTTCTTTGTCCAGTCCTCTCCCTCCGCCCCCTATACCTCTACCTCTCATTCTTCCTCCCTCACTCTCACCCACCTCATCACTCTCCTCTCACTCTCACCCCACCTCTTCCTCTCTTTCTCACTCTCACCCCACCTCTTCCATCCGCCTCTCACTCTCACCCCACCTCTTTTCCTCCTCTCACTCTTCAGCCCAGCTCTTCCTCTTCCTCTTCCTCTTTGCTCTTGCCTTCCATGTTGGCTTCCATTGTTGCCCCTTGGTAACAAAGTTACTCACCTGTGGCTCTTTTTCTAGTGCCTTGGACATCCTGATGATGAGACAACAATTATGCAATCAGGTGCTTGGGTCAGGTGGAACGTGTTTCTTGATCATTGGTCCATGTGTGAGGCATTTTGAATATCAGTGTTTTAAACCTGCTAACACGTGACTTTATGTCAGATTCCTGTGTCTAACGTGGGAGAAAACGTGTGCAGTGGTTTGCAAAAAGTGTCATGTTGATTTGCAATTGTGTCAAAAGCTGAAAACGTGTTTAGAGTTTTAGAGATTTGAGCTGATGTTTTGCTCTTTGAGTGTCAGTTAAAATAATTGTGCGTTATGTATAATTTTAGTGTGTTAGCAATCGAGAAAAACTGTATTATTATTATTATCATTTTTTAATTTGCCAAGTACATGTGTACATATGTATATATTTATATATAGTATTTTTATTTTCAAAAATGGTAGTTGAAACTGCTATTGACATGTGCAGAAAATGACCCTATATCTAGTTTTTCTTGTATATATATATATATATATATACACTGTACAGTATATGCATTTATTTTTTTCTTGTCCTAACTTTTATTTATTTTTTTCTTTAGTTTTCTTTATTTCTTTGTACTCCTTAATTTCTATACGTTTTTGACGCAATAATGCCAATGTTATATTATGATGATTCACGGGAGGGCTACTTCCCCATAAGCTATGCTTCAGCCCTCCCGCTTCTACTAATTTTGTTCATCTTTGTGTGTATGAATTATACTTCTTTTTTTTGTATGAATTTAGTAGAATAAAATAATTTAAAAATATATATTGATATCAGCAAGAGGTAGAGGGAGGATAGGAGTGAGAGGGAGGATGAACTGAAGTCAGTTGAAGAGTTATTTGCAGAATATCGGTTGGAGCTGTATGACCGTCAGGCCTATAGCTGCATGCTTCTTCTGCAGGTGGAGGTGCAGAGGTCAGACCCAGCTAGGTGGTAAAAAGCTGCCTGAGTATTTTCTTTCCTCTGTTTTTTGTACAAATATGTTTTGTATTTCTTTGTCATCAAAGTGTTCCTTTCCACTTACTGTATTCGACGTAGGCATCATTTGTGTTTACACAACTGTAACTATGTGTTGTGCATGAATGAAGCACCAATTTGTTTTGGAGAAAGATAAAAGTATAACAACAGTATATTTGTGTTTCTGCACATATTTCTGTAAACTTGAACAATCTTTATATGCAGAATTCTCTACATACAGAAAGCCATAAAAGATGAGTGTGCTTTAGATTGAGAACGATGGTGTGTAGTCGGTTGGACAAAGTGTCTTGTACTATAAATGAAGTGTGTGCCATTTGGTGCAAACGTTTGGTTTTGGTAAGTGTTTACGTAGTTTTGGGTGCAGTGCTTCATTTTGCAAGATATATGAAGTGTTGGGGGTGCTGCTGTTTTGAGTGATATTACCTAGGTCTTCTTGAGCCATACACTGTCTTGAGATCATATCCATTGTATCCTTGTCTTGTGATTTTTGACTGAAAGGGCAAAAGGCTAGACCTACTTTGGTTGAGCTATGTAGCTGCGTCCCCTGCTTTTGACAAGTGTGCGATTGACATGCCAGATTGAAGGAAAATTAAAAATATTGGTCATGTTGGGTAGGCGTGTTGTTACGTGTTGGTACGTGGGTTGAGGGGCCCGGAGCTCTCAGTGCCCAGGGGCCCCTGGAGGTACTAATCCGGCCTTGACAATAAGAGGAATAACTCAAGCCGATTGGAGTCTACTGGTCATACAGTTAAGGTCAAATATGTATCCGTCAGTCACCATCTAAAAGTTCAAGACACTTTGTCACAATACTTGATATCGCAGAAGGCACAATATTTGTTAAAGACTCAATATTTTAAATACAATTTTTAATGAAGTATTATAAAGCTGCATTGTTTTCAACATATTAGAAAAAAACACATTTGTTTGTTATAGATATATTTTTAAAGTGTGTGTTAGCAGACGATACTCACAGCAACTCTGGCCTGGAAGTCAGCAGTAGGTACAACAGGGATGGGCCCCCCCCTGCTTGCCAAACTTCCTCTCCAAACGTTCCTGCTTAGACACGATAACAGACTGAATCGATTAAAGATACCAGGGTTGACACACCCTGATGGTTCAGTTCATCAAGTTACACAAGTGAAAGTGAAAAAGCCACTGTATGATTGGCTGCTTGTGATCAAGAGAGAGTATAAAAAAAGGTTGCCCCAGACGTCGTTACTCTTGGAGAGAGATCACATCAGCTGACACCAGCTTATGCCGAAATAACAGAGCAGCATCACTGACACCGCCTGAACCAGCACCGATCCAGTAAGAATATATCTACTAAATTACTACTAAATTACTTTTGACATAATTGCTATTTAGATTTGTTACACTTATATTTAAAACGAATTTATCTTGCATTAAAAAATACATTAGAAGCCTTGCCAGTGATGTAATAGCTAAGAGACATAAAAGGATAGTATTTTTTAAAAGCTTGTTTTAGCAACCACAGCATGAACTGAAACAACTTGAATGAAAATACTTTTTAAAAGCACCTTTCATATACAGACGGCTTTACAATTTAGCTGCGTGTTCCATACATTTGGGGAAAGGGGCTAGAAGTTGTATCCCCAAAAAAGTATCAAGAGTTTAAACTTGAAACCTTTGTTGCGTTAAAAGATTTTCGTGCAGGTCAAATTACAGCAGGGGAGGTAGACTTGATATATTATGGATAGGTTGTGACAAAACTCCTGTTCTGAGGTTTGTGTTGTGGCTTCAGGAAACAGCTGTAGAACCTGAGTATCTCCATCCTGCTGAGAAGTCCAGAGCATCACAACACCAAGAGAAATACAAGGTACAATAACACAGCAAGTCTGAGTGCTGTATAGGCTGTACCATTTATCAGTAGTATGGTGGTTTGCCAATAATAATGGTTCTTCTCTTTGTTTTAATTTAGATGCCTACCGTTCCTCGAGATTTCGAAAAAGACAAGAACATAGAAAAGACACTGCATGGCAATAAAGACACTGTCTATCAACATGACAGAAATGATGTACCATTTGCCATTACTTTCTATAGCACACATGTAAGAGAATGGCTGGCTGCAATGAAGGAAAAGTACCCAGAATTGGATGAAGTTACAACAGACAATAAAGTCAGACTCAAGTCGCCTATCAAGAACGGCGGTACCATAACTTTATATCCTAGTGTAACAGTTGTGGTACAAGGCAAAGACCTGAGGAAGAGGTTTCTGGAAGATTTTGAAGAAATGAAACGACAGGCCCATACAGACGACTTACAAGCAGCAATGGATAATTTGGTATTAGAAAATGAGCCTGAGGGAGGTAACCCAACCCACTGAAAAAGATGAAACAAAAAAATAAGATGGATCATTATAAATAACTGATTTCTAAGCTTTATGTGTATTGGTAATGTATCCTCTGAGTGTTATGACGCTGCAGGCCATGGAGGAGGTGAGGAGCAGTCTTGTACCCTATAATAAACTGAAAATGAAATGCTTTTGAGAAATTATTAGAAGAATCAGTTTCTTACACAATAAAAGCTTGTTTATTGTTGATACGTACATGTATGACTCATGCTTATTCTTTACATTTCCCCTTTATGGTTTATATATTATACAAATATAACAGTGTATTTTTTGCTGTATCACAAAATATTCATGACCAAATAATAATGACTATAATAATGACTAAGTAATAATCCAGATTAAAAAGTGAAAAAGGAAAAACATCCTAGGTGTAATTCATTAAGAATTCAACAACAAAAAAAGACAGTTCATCTGCTCCATCAGCGCTGGATTTGTGTGGTTTGAGCCAACAGGTTTGAGCACATTTTATTTTAATTGTGTGTGCGCTTACAGGAATAACCATGACGTTGTTCTCCAGTTAGATCTTGTCAGCATCTGGGGTGTGGCTGGTGGGACCATTGGCACCTTCAGCAATGATCTGAAAAGACATGAAATACAACACACACTTTACATGACTGCAACAAAGTCTCCCTGTCCTTACTCGTGTGGAGTCAAACACCAACTTTAAGCAAAGCACCTTGGGTAAATCAAAAGTGAGGGTTTACCTTGGCCTTGATCCTTCGGGCGTTGTTACGCGTGAGCTGCTTTTCTCCGGCGGCAGGGATCAGGATGTGGCATTCGGCTTCCAAAATGCTCCCTTCATAGGGTTTGGCTCCTGGGAAGCCCACAATGGTGCCATTTTGCTGCAGAAAGTAAAGAGACACACACGTGAATATTTGACAAAATGTTGGGGAAAAAGTGTATTTCCAGGAGAAGAAAATCATCTCAAAGACAATGACTTGATTATTTTAGTAAGAGAAAACAGAGGGGGGAGATGACAAGAAGGATAAAGCAGACAGAAGTGAGGGGAAGGCAGTTGTGCTGGTACCAGTTTGTATTCCTCCAGCGCTTTGGGGTCGATGCCATCAGCGTTGTAGATGGCTCCATCAATCTCACCGATGCTCACACACTTGGCCCCAAACCTGTGCAGGTACCCAGTGGCACTGCAAGACACTCTGGGGGCCCCAGGCAGAAGAGACATACCCCCAACACATCCAGCACAACCGCCAACCAACCCCAACCCCAACCCCCCCGCAGGAGCGGAGAATACGAAACTGAAATGAAGCAGCTTTTGGCGGCGCGCTACGCATGGGGGGTTTCCCGACATGTCATTGTAGTAAATTAAACGTGGTTTCATGTTGTCGTTGCTGTGGACCTATTTAATCGACCTTCTCTGGGGCCCCCCTTCTGGTCCGGGGGCCCTGCAGGTACCTCATGGAGTGAAGACGCACATTACCAAAGCCCTGTGAAAAAGTTACAGCAGGTTAATAACATCATGGTCCAACATCACCATGATCATCACTTTTTACTAATTGAATATCACCAATAGTAACATTTATAATTGTTATACCACTATTCAACCAACCATGAACTGATATGGTGCGGTGACATGCAACAAACCACTCTGGTGCCACCATGTGGCCAACTGCAGTTATGACATCTAACTAAAGTAAGGCCTCACACAGGTACCATTTTTTAATTAAAATATTTTCTGTAAACATTGGTGAGAAATTGAGACATACAAGAATAAGCACAAAGGGACAGATAGATGCCGGGTGGAGCAAATTGTTCCATTTCCTGTTTACATTCAAAATGTTTAAAATACATGATACATCATTGCTAATGCCAAGCTCTTGTAAACACACAATTGCCATAACGCAGTCAAATCACTGTTTTAAACCCTCACCCACAATGATCTAAGGCTGTGTTTAAAATATAAGTCTAAACATACTGCAGAATAGATACTCAATCAGTATGATCTGCATACTAGGTTAGCATTACCCAGCCATTACTAGCAGACTGTTCACACTGAGGTAAACTCACGCAGTACGTCCTCTCTGCGAAACATGACTGCACCGATCACATGGCTACATCAATGATGGTGTTACTATGTTGTTTTTTCTTTTTGGAGGATCTTTTCAGTCACACACCCCTGTAATGCCTTCTCCAATCCACCCGGCTTATGGCAGTATAGTATGGGAAATAAATTGATGCAACACAATGTCTTTGTCTGAACATTTTATTGGTTTCCAAAAAAATGAATAAAACAAAAATATAAAGTCATTTCCTCCAAAATAATTTCATTGTCAAGGACCTGGACAGCTACAACTGAGGAGAATTCAACCAGGGGATGGGCGCTCACAGCAACACCTCACCCTCCCTGCTCCCCTGTCTAGGCTAGCGGAGGAGTCGGGAAGAAGCGGCTTTTAATATGAGACAAAGCGACGGGAGAGAACAGGAAAAAAGGGGAGATGAGCATCTGTCAAATCTCGAACAGTAAAAACACCAACTATGAAATAACAAAAAATCTTGTTGGGAATCTTAATCTTGGCAACTTGACTACTAATCTTTACACCTGAAGAGTGAGACAACAAACCTAGAGTAATACACTTTTTATTTTATTCATATTAAGTTAAATGTTTATCCCTTATAATTGAAATTAACTTTAAGGGGCCGAACTCTCTGAAATAAAGCATCTGTAGTGCTGTCATCTGAGGGTCACACCTACACCTACACTCAGCGATCACAAAATGGGCGCTCTGAACATGGCTGCCATACAACAATATCATGAACGTTTATATATGAGGGCAGAAGGAGGATCAGCATTTCACTTTCTCTCTCTCTCTGATTTTTCTTAATATAAACTCAGTCAAAAAAACAGAACAGGGCAATGTTTGAACAGAGATGCAGATACAGTATAATGGCAGCACAAAGATCACAAGGTATATAGCAGACTAGCCAGTGTCTCGTGGTGTGTGTGTCCGCGTGTGTGTAGAAGAGCCAAAAAGCAGCGGTAAACAGTGATATGTTCTGAAGGTTGTTTAGAGGGTGGAAGAAGGCAGGAGAGGGCGATCAATAGCAGGAGGGTAAGGGCAGGGAGAGGAATTGAGGGTCGGAATTGGCCATTTATGTGAAGGTAAGCCCTGCCTCGTTGTAGACTTTGAAGACCTTCTCGATGGCGTTGATGTAGGCGGCCGTCCTGATGTCCAGACCCAGGTTGTGCTTGCTTGCTGTATGCATGATTTGCTAGAAAGGCAGAGGAGGACATGTGTTATTATGATGGCTATCAGCAACAACCTCAGGGGGACTGGTCACCTTCTTCTTGCTGACGGTAATTACCAGCACGGAAAACCGTTCCTTTAATTAAACACCGTCAGAACTAGGAAGTCACCTTGCACATTTTATATTACTTTTAATAATTTCAAAACTAAGGTGAAACCTTGATTTATGGAAAAACTTGGAGTTTTTGTACATTGTTCTCATTGGTCTAAAGTTGGAAAATTCTCTGGTCATGTATCTAGCAGTACAACTTTGACCACATGAAATACTCATTTATAAATAATCAAAGTCAGGATTCGAAACACCATTTTTGTGTTTATGAAATGTCTATTAGCCCAGCTTTATATAAGAATAATTCCTAGCAAAGTACTTAATCATTCAACATGATCTGGAAACAGATATGAGAGAAGGATTGATTAACCAATTAAAAAGTTAATTTAAGGTTTTGTCAACGTTGACAGTTGCCTAGCTACTGTGGCCAGCAGTAGCAACAGTGTTTACTACAGGTCTGTTGGCGCTGACTCAAAGGATCTAACAGCCTCCTGACGCAAAATCAAACCATTTATTAATGATACAGGTATTTATTTAATATGTTATACACCGAATACTGCTTTTCTGGAATGTTTGTGTGCATGACAAATTGAAACTTGAATCGATGTGTCGATTTGTTGGTTGCATGATATCTTCTTGCTTACCGGGCGACTGTTTCTCTGTAATTATTATTACAATAAACAACTTGAAACTTGAGCTGTTGTGTCTATTTGTTGGTTGCGTGATGTTTATTTGCATCCTTTACTCCTGTATCCGAGCTATTCTTGCAAAGTCATGAAAGTCTTGAAATCAGTCAAAGGCTTATTGGGAAAGCCTGGATTCTTTTTGTATGTGAAACGTGTAGTTTTAGGGCAAAGTTGACCTTGTATATTTCATTTGCATGGTAAAAGAAAAGTGAAAGGAAACATGCAGGTCATGTTCTTGAAAGTATGTGAAACATTTCCCCAGTTTTTGTTGTAGTTGATGGAAATGTATTTGGTTTACAGTGAGATGAGGGACATGAACCACTGCACTAATGCAAGTGGCGTGTTTCATATCCGTTTATTATACTAGATAACATAGTGGCTCTGCACTATAAAGAGGCAGGAACGTGTTACTTCCTGTACGATCACTTACCCGGGCAGATCTCTCCATGGTGTAGGCCAACCCAGAGTGAACAATATCCTTCTCAGAGGCACCCTGCAAGGGAAAGATGAATGTTAGCGTCAATCTCTAGGAGGACACTCAATAAACAAACTGTATGCAACATTTTATTTTCATTAAGAAATAGCCTTGGTTGCATGATTGTATCATTGATAAATGTATGCTTTTTGTTTTTACATGTCAATTCAAAATACTAAAAAATGTTTTATTTGTTTGGTCCCAACTTGGCTCTGGTAACTTGTGATGGGCATTAAGAATCTGTGTAGGTAATAGGAGATAGGTACAGTACAGGGAAAGGCTTGACGCAACATGTGTATTAATTTCACAGCAACTAAACAACAATCTGTACTGTAGACATGGTGAAGGGGTTTGCACCAATGCCCAGCGCCCAATTTACTTTCATTTGTATTTGTAAACCATACACATGATCAGCACCAGTTGCTCTCTGAAGTCATGGCAGAGTCGTCTCTAGCAATTGGTTACAGATAAATGTTGACAAATCACATTTGATCAGCCGACAGGCCGATAGCACTCAAGTCAAATGTTAGATTTGTGCATTCCTGGTTTGTTTAAGAGGAATAACTCAAGCCGATTGGAGTCTACTGGTCATACAGTTAAGGTCAAATATGTATCCGTCAGTCACCATCTAAAAGTTCAAGACACTTTGTCACAATACTTGATATCGCAGAAGGCACAATATTTGTTAAAGACTCAATATTTTAAATACGATTTTTAATGAAGTATTATAAAGCTGCATTGTTTTCAACATATTAGAATAAAAACACATTTGTTTGTTATAGATATATTTTTAAAGTGTGTGTTAGCAGATGATACTCACAGCAACTCTGGCCTGGAAGTCAGCAGTAGGTACGACAGGGATGGGCCCCCCCTGCTTGCCAAACTTCCTCTCCAAACTTTATTGCACAGACAAGATAACAGACTGAATCGATAAAAAATACCAGGGTTGACACACCCTGATGGTCAAGGCCGGATTAACCATATGGGCACACTGGGCAGTGCGCACATGCCCAGGGGCCCTTGAGCAAGAGAGGGCCCTCAGTGACAAGAGAAAAAAAAATATATATGTATATATATATTTTTTTATTTTCTAAACCGTCTGTGTACTGTAGGTCTCACTATGTATTCGCTCAACTTTATGACTACGCGGCGGCGGTCTATGATCAAATCACGACCCCACCTTCACATTGTTGTGTCAATCGAGCTGAAAAAATTGATGGTGCCGGTACGGGGCAGCGAAAGAAAAGAAAGAAAAGGAAGAGAGAGTGGCGGCTGCTTTAAAACATTTCCCAACAATAAATAGCTTTTTCAAAAAAGCTAAAAGTGACGAATTAAGCCAGCAACCACAAGGAACAGTGACCTAATCACAGGACTTTGCAAAGTCTCTCCTCTCTCTTCTCTCTCTCTCTCTCTCTCTCTCCTCTCTCTCTCTCTCTCTCTCTCTCTCTCTCTCTCGCTCTCTCTCTCTCTCTCTCTCTCTCTCTCTCTCTCTCTCTCTCTCTCTCTTTCTTCACTTGTTTGGCATTTTTCAAAACATTGCCATTAAAAATGCCACACACATGAACAAATACATTTGCAATACTGAGATAGAAAAAGTTCTTCAATCTTTCTCTGCAGAAACAGAGAAACACCCAAAGTGCAAAACACCTCATTTCTCCTGCTAAGTGAAATATAACACACTTCATTCATAATACTAGATGGTTTGACCACCCAACTACACACTGCTGACTCTAAAGCACTTTCCTCTGTTATGGGCTCTGCTCTGTACATAGAGGTTCCTGCAGAGGAAGATTGCTTGAGTATACAGAAATACAGTAAATGAAGAAATACAAATGAGTTGTTGAATGAAATCACATTTTATTCAAAAATAACATTGTGCAGCATGCATCTCAGCACATAGTTACTATGCTTCGGATCTCTCTAAGTGTGATGCATTGTTTGCCAAAACCCAGTTTGTAACTGCTGCTTCCTGTGCCTCATTGAAAACCCTTAGCCTTCCACCTGCACCTCTTTGTTTCTCAGTCCTTCAGATAAACAACAAAGATCTAGTGGTTGGTCAGTGTCTGTGTTGCATAAAGGTAAGTCTACCACAGTCCATTGTGCAGGATTTGTGTACAGTTATAGTATGCAACATGCCAACAATTCAATGAAAGCAATGAAGTAAATACGTTTCACACAACAGATATAAGCACTGATATATCATGAATTATGCAGAGCTAAAAACTGGTAACCTGTTTTCTAAGCGTCCGGATTACAGAGGCGACAGTACATCGCCTTAGATTAGACTGAACCCTCTGTCCAGCCTCTGAACCCTCTGTCCAGCCTCTGAACCCTCTGTCCAGCCTCTCTCATCGTCACACCATGGTTGATAACATTTCATTTCATTAGAGAGTATTCTTCTTTGTCCACGTCCTCTCCCTCCAGCTCTACCTCTACCTCTCATTCTTCCTCCTCTCACTCTCACCCACCTCTTCCTCCTCCTCTCACTCTCACCCCACCTCTTCCTCCTCTTCTCACTCTCACCCCACCTCTTCCTCCTCCTCTCACTCTCACCCCACCTCTTCCTCCTCTCACTCTCAGCCCAGCTCTTCCTCTTCCTCTTCCTCTTGCTCTTGCTTCCATGTTGGCTTCCATTGTTGCTGTAACAAAGTACTCACCTGTGGTCTTTTTATAGTGCTGACATCCTGATTGATGAGACAACAATTATGCAATCAGGTGCTTGGTCAGGTGGAACGTGTTTCTTGATCATTGGTCCATGTGTGAGGCATTTTGAATATCAGTGTTTTAAACCTGCTAACACGTGACTTTATGTCAGATTCCTGTGTCTAACGTGGAGAAACGTGTGCAGTGGTTTGCAAAAAGTGTCATGTTGATTTGCAAATTGTGTCAAAAGCTGAAAACGTGTTTAGAGTTTTAGAGATTTGAGCTGATGTTTTGCTCTTTGAGTGTCAGTTAAAATAATTGTGCGTTATGTATAATTTTAGTGTGTTAGCAATCGAGAAAAACTGTATTATTATTATTATCATTTTTAATTTGCCAAGTACATGTGTACATATGTATATATTTATATATAGTATTTTTATTTTCAAAAATGGTAGTTGAAACTGCTATTGACATGTGCAGAAAATGACCCTATATCTAGTTTTTCTTGTATATATATATATATATATATATATACACTGTACAGTATATGCATTTATTTTTTTCTTGTCCTAACTTTTATTTTTTTTTTTTCTTTAGTTTTCTTTATTTCTTTGTACTCCTTAATTTCTATACGTTTTTGACGCAATAATGCCAATGTTATATTATGATGATTCACGGGAGGGCTACTTCCCCCATAAGCTATGCTTCAGCCCTCCCGCTTCTACTAATTTTGTTCATCTTTGTGTGTATGAATCATACTTCTTTTTTTTGTATGAATTTAGTAGAATAAAATAATTTTAAAATATATATTGATATCAGCAAGAGGTAGAGGGAGGATAGGAGTGAGAGGGAGGATGAACTGAAGTCAGTTGAAGAGTTATTTGCAGAATATCGGTTGGAGCTGTATGACCGTCAGGCCTATAGCTGCATGCTTCTTCTGCAGGTGGAGGCGCTGAGGTCAGACCCAGCTAGGTGGTAAAAAGCTGAATATTTTCTTTCCTCTGTTTTTTGTACAAATATTTTTTGTATTTCTTTGTCATCAAAGTGTTCCTTTCCACTTACTGTATTTGATAGAGGCATCATTTGTGTTTACACAACTGTAACTATGTGTTGTGCATGAATGAAGCACCAATTTGTTTTGGAGAAAGATAAAAGTATAACAACAGTATATTTGTGTTTCTGCACATATTTCTGTAAACTTGAACAATCTTTATATGCAGAATTCTCTCCATACAGAACGCCATAAAAGATGAGTGTGCTTTAGATTGAGAACGATGGTGTGTAGTCGGTTGGACAAAGTGTCTTGTACTATAAATGAAGTGTGTGCCATTTGGTGCAAACGTTTGGTTTTGGTAAGTGTTTACGTAGTTTTGGGTGCAGTGCTTCATTTTGCAAGATATATGAAGTGTTGGGGGTGCTGCTGTTTTGAGTGATATTACCTAGGTCTTCTTGAGCCATACACTGTCTTGAGATCATGTCCATTGTATCCTTGTCTTGTGATTTTTGACTGAAAGGGCAAAAGGCTAGACCTACTTTGGTTGAGCTATGTAGCTGCGTCCCCTGCTTTTGACAAGTGTGCGATTGACATGCCAGATTGAATGAAAATTAAAAATATTGGTCATGTTGGGTAGGCGTGTTGTTACGTGTTGGTACGTGGGTTGAGGGGCCCGGAGCTCTCAGTGCCCAGGGGCCCCTGGAGGTACTAATCCGGCCTTGACAATAAGAGGAATAACTCAAGCCGATTGGAGTCTACTGGTCATACAGTTAAGGTCAAATATGTATCCGTCAGTCACCATCTAAAAGTTCAAGACACTTTGTCACAATACTTGATATCGCAGAAGGCACAATATTTGTTAAAGACTCAATATTTTAAATACAATTTTTAATGAAGTATTATAAAGCTGCATTGTTTTCAACATATTAGAAAAAAACACATTTGTTTGTTATAGATATATTTTTAAAGTGTGTGTTAGCAGACGATACTCACAGCAGCTCTGGCCTGGAAGTCAGCAGTAGGTACGACAGGGATGGGCCCCCCCTGCTTGCCAAACTTCCTCTCCAAACTTTCCTGCTTAGACAAGATAACAGACTGAATCGATTAAAGATACCAGGGTTGACACACCCTGATGGTTCAGTTCATCAAGTCACACAAGTGAAAGTGAAAAAGCCACTGTATGATTGGCTGCTTGTGATCAAGAGAGAGTATAAAAAAAGGTTGCCCCAGACGTTGTTACTCTTGGAGAGAGATCACATCAGCTGACACCAGCTTATGCCGAAATAACAGAGCAGCATCACTGACACCGCCTGAACCAGCACCGATCCAGTAAGAATATATCTACTAAATTACTACTAAATTACTGTTGACATCATTGCTATTTAGATTTGTTACACTTATATTTAAAACTAATTTATCTTGCATTAAAAAATACATTAGAAGCCTTGCCAGTGATGTAATAGCTAAGAGACATAAATGATAGTATTTTTTAAAAGCTTGTTTTAGCAACCACAGCATGAACTGAAACAACTTGAATGAAAATACTTTTTAAAAGCACCTTTCATATACAGACGGCTTTACAATTTAGCTGCGTGTTCCATACATTTGGGGAAAGGGGCTAGAAGTTGTATCCCCAATAAAGTATGAAGAGTTTAAACTTGAAACATTTGTCGCGTTAAAAGATTTTCGTACAGGTCAAATTACAGCAGGGGAGGTAGACTTGATATATTATGGATAGGTTGTGACAAAACTCCTGTTCTGAGGTTTGTGTTGTGGCTTCAGGAAGCAGCTGTAGAACCTGAGTATCTCCATCCTGCTGAGAAGTCCAGAGCATCACAACACCAAGAGAAATACAAGGTACAATAACACAGCAAGTCTGAGTGCTGTATAGGCTGTACCATTTATCAGTAGTATGGTGGTTTGCCAATAATAATGTTTCTTCTCTTAGTTTTAATTTAGATGGCTACCGTTCCTCGAGATTTCGAAAAAGACAAGACCAGAGAAAAGACGCTGCATGGCAATAAAGACACTGTCTATAAACATGACAGAAATGATGTACCATTTGGCATTACTTTCTATAGCACACGTGTAAGAGAATGGCTGGCTGCAATGAAGGAAAAGTACCCAGCATTTAACGAAGTTACCACAGACAATCAAATCAGACTCAAGTCACCTATCAAGAACGGCGGTACCATAACTTTATATCCTAGTGTAACAGTTGTGGTACAAGGCAAAGACCTGAGGAAGAGGTTTCTGGAAGATTTTGAAGAAATGAAACGACAGGCCCTGCAGGACGACTTACAAGCAGCAATGGAACATTTGAAATTAGAAAATGAGCCTGAGGGAGGTAACCCAACCCACTGAAAAAGATGAAACAAAAAAATAAGATGGATCATTATAAATAACTGATTTCTAAGCTTTATGTGTATTGGTAATGTATCCTCTGAGTGTTATGACGCTGCAGGCCATGGAGGAGGTGAGGAGCAGTCTTGTACCCTATAATAAACTGAAAATGAAATGCTTTTGAGAAATTATTAGAAGAATCAGTTTCTTACACAATAAAAGCTTGTTTATTGTTGATACGTACATGTATGACTCATGCTTATTCTTTACATTTCCCCTTTATGGTTTATATATTATACAAATATAACAGTGTATTTTTTGCTGTATCACAAAATATTCATGACCAAATAATAATGACTATAATAATGACTAAGTAATAATCCAGATTAAAAAGTGAAAAAGGAAAAACATCCTAGGTGTAATTCATTAAGAATTCAACAACAAAAAAAGACAGTTCATCTGCTCCATCAGCGCTGGATTTGTGTGGTTTGAGCCAACAGGTTTGAGCACATTTTATTTTAATTGTGTGTGCGCTTACAGGAATAACCATGACGTTGTTCTCCAGTTAGATCTTGTCAGCATCTAGGGTGTGGCTGGTGGGACCATTGGCACCTTCAGCAATGATCTGAAAAGACATGAAATACAACACACACTTTACATGACTGCAACAAAGTCTCCCTGTCCTTACTCGTGTGGAGTCAAACACCAACTTTAAGCAAAGCACCTTGGGTAAATCAAAAGTGAGGGTTTACCTTGGCCTTGATCCTTCGGGCGTTGTTACGCGTGAGCTGCTTTTCTCCGGCGGCAGGGATCAGGATGTGGCAGTCGGCTTCCAAAATGCTCCCTTCATAGGGTTTGGCTCCTGGGAAGCCCACAATGGTGCCATTTTGCTGCAGAAAGTAAAGAGACACACACGTGAATATTGACAAAATGTTGGGGAAAAAGTGTATTTCCAGGAGAAGAAAATCATCTCAAAGACAATGACTTGATTATTTTAGTAAGAGAAAACAGAGGGGGGAGATGACAAGAAGGATAAAGCAGACAGAAGTGAGGGGAAGGCAGTTGTGCTGGTACCAGTTTGTATTCCTCCAGCGCTTTGGGGTCGATGCCATCAGCGTTGTAGATGGCTCCATCAATCTCACCGATGCTCACACACTTGGCCCCAAACCTGTGCAGGTACCCAGTGGCACTGCAAGACACTCTGGGGGCCCCAGGCAGAAGAGACATACCCCCAACACATCCAGCACAACCGCCAACCAACCCCAACCCCAACCCCCCCGCAGGAGCGGAGAATACGAAACTGAAATGAAGCAGCTTTTGGCGGCGCGCTACGCATGGGGGGTTTCCCGACATGTCATTGTAGTAAATTAAACGGGGTTTCATGTTGTCGTTGCTGTGGACCTATTTAATCGACCTTCTCTGGGGCCCCCCTTCTGGTCCGGGGCCCCTGCAGGTACCTCATGGAGTGAAGACGCACATTACCAAAGCCCTGTGAAAAAGTTACAGCAGGTTAATAACATCATGGTCCAACATCACCATGATCATCACTTTTTACTAATTGAATATCACCAATAGTAACATTTATAATTGTTATACCACTATTCAACCAACCATGAACTGATATGGTGCGGTGACATGCAACAAACCACTCTGGTGCCACCATGTGGCCAACTGCAGTTATGACATCTAACTAAAGTAAGGCCTCACACAGGTACCATTTTTTAATTAAAATATTTTCTGTAAACATTGGTGAGAAATTGAGACATACAAGAATAAGCACAAATGGACAGATAGATGCCGGGTGGAGCAAATTGTTCCATTTCCTGTTTACATTCAAAATGTTTAAAATACATGATACATCATTGCTAATGCCAAGCTCTTGTAAACACACAATTGCCATAACGCAGTCAAATCACTGTTTTAAACCCTCACCCACAATGATCTAAGGCTGTGTTTAAAATATAAGTCTAAACATACTGCAGAATAGATACTCAATCAGTATGATCTGCATACTAGGTTAGCATTACCCAGCCATTACTAGCAGACTGTTCACACTGAGGTAAACTCACGCAGTACGTCCTCTCTGCGAAACATGACTGCACCGATCACATGGCTACATCAATGATGGTGTTACTATGTTGTTTTTTTCTTTTTGGAGGATCTTTTCAGTCACACACCCCTGTAATGCCTTCTCCAATCCACCCGGCTTATGGCAGTATAGTATGGGAAATAAATTGATGCAACACAATGTCTTTGTCTGAACATTTTATTGGTTTCCAAAAAAATGAATAAAACAAAAATATAAAGTCATTTCATCCAAAATAATTTCATTGTCAAGGACCTGGACAGCTACAACTGAGGAGAATTCAACCAGGGGATGGGCGCTCACAGCAACACCTCACCCTCCCTGCTCCCCTGTCTAGGCTAGCGGAGGAGTCGGGAAGAAGCGGCTTTTAATATGAGACAAAGCGACGGGAGAACAGGAAAAAAGGGGAGATGAGCATCTGTCAAATCTCGAACAGTAAAAACACCAACTATGAAATAACAAAAAATCTTGTTGGGAATCTTAATCTTGGCAACTTGACTACTAATCTTTACACCTGAAGAGTGAGACAACAAACCTAGAGTAATACACTTTTTATTTTATTCATATTAAGTTAAATGTTTATCCCTTATAATTGAAATTAACTTTAAGGGGCCGAACTCTCTGAAATAAAGCATCTGTAGTGCTGTCATCTGAGGGTCACACCTACACCTACACTCAGCGATCACAAAATGGGCGCTCTGAACATGGCTGCCATACAACAATATTATGAACGTTTATATATGAGGGCAGAAGGAGGATCAGCATTTCACTTTCTCTCTCTCTCTGATTTTTCTTAATATAAACTCAGTCAAAAAAACAGAACAGGGCAATGTTTGAACAGAGATGCAGATACAGTATAATGGCAGCACAAAGATCACAAGGTATATAGCAGGCTAGCCAGTGTCTCGTGGTGTGTGTGTCCGTGTGTGTGTAGAAGAGCCAAAAAGCAGCGGTAAACAGTGATATGTTCTGAAGGCTGTTTAGAGGGTGGAAGAAGGCAGGAGAGGGCGATCAATAGCAGGAGGGTAAGGGCAGGGAGAGGAATTGAGGGTCGGAATTGGCCATTTATGTGAAGGTAAGCCCTGCCTCGTTGTAGACTTTGAAGACCTTCTCGATGGCGTTGACGTAGGCGGCCGTCCTGATGTCCAGACCCAGGTTGTGCTTGCTTGCTGTACGCATGATTTGCTAGAAAGACAGAGGAGGACATGTGTTATTATGATGGCTATCAGCAACAACCTCAGGGGGACTGGTCACCTTCTTCTTGCTGACGGTAATTACCAGCACGGAAAACCGTTCCTTTAATTAAACACCGTCAGAACTAGGAAGTCACCTTGCACATTTTATATTACTTTTAATAATTTCAAAACTAAGGTGAAACCTTGATTTATGGAAAAACTTGGAGTTTTTGTACATTGTTCTCATTGGTCTAAAGTCTTTAAATCTGGTGGAAAATGCTCTGGTCATGTATCTAGCAGTACAACTTTGACCACATGAAATACTCGTACATTTATAAATAATCAAAGTCAGGATTCGAAACGCCATTTTTGTGTTTATGAAATGTCTATTAGCCCAGCTTTATATAAGAATAATTCCTAGCAAAGTACTTAATCATTCAACATGATCTGGAAACAGATGTGAGAAAAAGATTGATTACCCAATTAAAAAGTTAATTCAAGGTTTTGTCAACGTTGACAGTTGCCTAGCTACTGTGGCCAGCAGTAGCATCAGTGTTTACTACAGGTCTGTTGGCGCTGACTCAAAGGATCTAACAGCCTCCTGACGCAAAATCAAACCATTTATTAATGATACAGGTATTTATTGAATATACAGACTACTGCTTTTCTGGATTTTTTGTGTGCATGACAAATTGAAACTTGAATCGATGTGTCGATTTGTTGGTTGCATGATATCTTCTTGCTAACCGGGCGACTGTTTCTCTGTAATTATTATTACAATAAACAACTTGAAACTTGAGCTGTTGTGTCTATTCGTTGTTTGCTTGATGTTTATTTGCATCCTTTACTCCTGTATCCGAGCTATCCTTGCAAAGTCATGAAAGTCTTGAAATTAGTCAAAGGCTTAGTGGGAAAGCCTGGTGTCTTTTTCTATGTGAAACGTGTAGTTTTAGGGCAAAGTTCACCTTATATTTGTATATTTCATTTGCATGGTAAAATAAAAGTGAAAGGAAACATGCAGGTCATGTTCTTGAAAGTATGTGAAACATTTCCCCAGTTTTTGTTGTAGTTGATGGAAATGTATTTGGTTTACAGTGAGATGAGGGACATGAACCACTGCACTAATGCAAGTGGCGCGTTTCATATCCGTTTATTATACTAGATAACATAGTGGCTCTGCACTATAAAGAGGCAGGAACGCGTTACTTCCTGTACGATCACTTACCCGGGCAGATCTCTCCATGGTGTAGGCCAACCCAGAGTGAACAATATCCTTCTCAGAGGCACCCTGCAAGGGAAAGATGAATGTTAGCGTCAATCTCTAGGAGGACACTCAATAAACAAACTGTATGCAATCACTTAGTCAATTTAGAGAAAAGTGTACTTTCATTAAGAAATAGCCTTGGTTACATGATTGCTAGATGCTTTTTGTTTTTACATGTCAATTCAATA